CCACCACCCCCTCCTGCAGGCTAGCCTTGGCCCAAGTTGTCTGCTCCAACTCAGCAGGGAGGGATGCTCTAGTACCTCCAGCTTCCGACTTGGACCACAGCAGGCATGTGGCTGCATTTCCAGAATCAGAAGTGAATGTCTGTTTACTTGCTTATCGGTTTAATCTATACAATTTAGACTAACCTGCAAAGATTAAATGGATTCAGTCTCAGGATTTTTGACTATCTGTACTTAGCCACATAGGCAGGGTAAGCAAGAATTAACTCATGTCTGCTTTCAGTCCCCAGTAGGTCAGTGTCTCATTCCTGACCCCAGTTCTAATCTATGGTACCCAGTTTGTGGGAATTTTGTTGCTGAGACAGGGGATAGTATTATAATACCTTGTGGCAAAAATTAATGATGGTTTCAACCCTCTCAAGTATGGTTCTTATTTGGACATTAAGTTGAATTAGCTTCAGTGGCACAGGAGAGAATCTACTTTAAGAGCAGGTTTCTTCCATGTGTGGGAGGGATTACCTTACATAAATAAGGGATTTGCAGGAAGGAGTCTGCCTAACCTGAGACACGGACAAGTCTTGGATTCACAAGAAGTGTTGAAATCAGATTAGATGTACTTACCTCCCAGGATCTTTGCGTTTCAAAGATCTAAAACTCTTTTAGAGTGCTCAGGGCTTAGGTGGAGCATCCATAAGTAACTGAGTTTTAGAGGTTTCAGACATGATTTTAGGGTGTAGGGCGGCAATATCCTACAGGCCAATAAAGACATTAAATAAGAGATCTGAGCATAGTGACGTGCCAGGTATGGAAACTATTATGACTAGTCCTAGTTAGGCTGGAAATACCTGGGACTTAGTGATGGACTCTACTTGCAATAGACTGAAATTACTGGTAAATATGAATTCAGATTATAATAGATAGGTGGCAGCGGTTTTTCTGGCTCTCCCTTTATCTTTACTTTCCCTCTTTGGCTCCTTTTCACTTAAAATTTTGGCAAGTCTCTGCGTGCAAATCTACAGCATAGTTTACAAAACTAATCCCAGTTTATAAATTTTGTACAACTAAAATCTTCTGTAATGATTCAGTTACAGTTAGCTTTCCTACTCATGGGAAAGCAGGAAGCATTTAGGCAACCCTCACATGCTAGTCTGTTTTGAGAAGTTCTATTAACTTTTATGATAAAAAATGAGAGCCTTTATAAATAAAATTCTAAAGAAGAGATACAAGTAGCTATTGAATTCCATAGATTTTTGTGATCTTTGGGTTTTTAGGGTAATCTTTATTGAACCCTTTCACATTCATATTTATTTCTTGATAAGGGTATCATTATCACTGAGGCTCACACTGGAATAGAAGGAATTCAAATATTTATTAAATTAAATTAATTGAAACAGGTTATGATTATAGTGACCCATCTGTAAGCATTCGGGCAAAGTAAAAGGTAGCTTTTCAAGCTTTTCAGGATTTGTAGGCAAAAACCAATGCTTTAAACTCTATTCAGGAACAACGGGGTATCCAATGCATACCTTGGAGAACCAAAGTTGTGCATTTCCCTATCTAGTCTGATGCTGCTTTATGAACCATCTTCAATTTTTGGGATGATATAGGTTGTGATTCCATGTATAGTGTGCTGCAGTGATATAACCTCAAAGTGTCAAAGTGATGGAATATGGCAGTAATTTCTGCACCTGAAAGAATTAGTGCACTCGCGAGATGAATGCAGTTTCTTTCTCTCAGCTGCCAGGAACACTGAAGACAAGCCGAGAACTGGCCGAGGTCATTGCAGGTCCCCTGGCACGGCTTTACGAGCACTCGTGGTGCACTGGAGAGGTGCTGGAGGACTGGAAGAGAGCCAATGTGGTTCCAATCTTCAAAAAAGGGAGGAAGGAGGACCCGGGAAACTATAGGCCAGTTAGTCTTACCTCGATCCTAGGCAAGCTGTTTGAGAAAATAATTCTGGCACACATCCAGGAGGGGCCAGCAGGGGACTGCATGCTTAGGGGCAATCAGCACGGGTTCATCAGTGGCAGGTCCTGTCAGACCAACCTGGTGGC